TGTTTCCAACGATTGATCCATGGACTTTCATTAACTAAAGGACGATCACATGTTTTTTGACTATGTTTGTGCTGTACTCCTTGCTTGGGTCTACATTGTAAGTTGTCAAATCTTACTACCCTCATGTAATTTTTATAATTATTATTTTATAATTATACCATATTTCATATATTTTATTTGAAAAATTTTTCATTAAAAATTTAATTTTTATTATTAAGTGAGAATATAATTGAATAGATCTAATTTTTTAATAAATTAAAATTTCACCTAACTTTTTTTAAATCATGAAGTAATTATTAATATTATATTTTTGCTTAAATTATAAGATACTTTATAAGAAGATTTAACGTCTTGAAATATAAAAGACATTGACAAAAATAAATTTTTATTAATAATGTCTTTTCAATATTAGCCTTTTTATTATATCCTTTTTATTTAATATTATTTTAAAAACGTATCAAATGAAAAGCAATTTTTTAAATTTTAAATTTTTATTTTGATAAAATAGAGTCATGAATTGTATTTATTGAGTTTTATTTACATGTGTACTTTTATGTAAAAAATTCTTATAACTTAAGAAAAAGGAAATATATTGTAATTCAGGAATTACGTAAAAAGTAAGTGTCTTTTTTATTAACTTGTGTTAATTGGATAACATAGAATCTTTTTATCATAATTTATTTTTTATTTAATAATCTTTTTTTCAAGAAAATTAGAGCATTCTAATAAATTATATTTAATTAAAGTCATCAACCTCTAACTCTAAGTATTCATTCCTCTCAATAAATTGACAGCTTGTTTTATAGTGTATAGAGTCAAAGATGATCCTTCAATAAATCAATGGTTGATTACATGAAGGGCATTTTTAAAAAATAGTAAACATTTGACTAAGTTTTAAAAAGATTTTAAAAAATGTCTTATAATGGAGGTGGAACAAATATAATCCCACCAATTATAACCTTTTAGATTGCTCTTGTTGTTGCATTATCAAATAACAAATCAATATCTAAATCCAACATTATTTATACTCTCTCAGTTAAAAAATATAAAATATTTTTAATCAAATTTTATTCTTAATAAAGTAGTTACGTATTTTCAAACCAACCTTATCTTCTTATATTTACTCCTCTTAAACATCCTACAATAAATATAAAGTCATTATTAATATAGGTACTTTTGAAAAAAAACAATAATTACACTTAAAAAGATTTAAAAATATCTTATATTTTTAAACATATAACTCTTTAAAAAATGTCATATATTTTTAAATAAAAAGAGTATATTTAATATTAATTTGCACGTGCCTTGGGCATTACAACATTGTTTGTTTGTTTATAACCACGCTTAAACGTGCAGTTAGATAACTATGTTCTCCTTCAACTTTAATTATAAAATAAAGTTTTATGACAAAGATAAAATGATTCATTTATTTAATATAGTGAGTGATACAAATCCACTCACTCAATAAATATTTTATATAGTATAATAGTAATCATTCAATTTAATTGAATGATATTGAGAAATTTTATCATATGATATTCAAAAAATATTAAATTTTATTTTTTTTAGAAAGAATACTGTATGTGATAATAAGCGTTGTTTTGATTTTTTTTTTAAAATATGTAGCTTAATAATTTTTAAATGTTAATAAAATTCAATAACTATAATTGTAACATTTATTGAGTGAGTGAGTGTAGATTACTCATTGAATCTAAATCCCTTATAATTTATAGACACATTTGATTTTGGTGATTAATTTTAGTAAATGACAAAATTGGAAAACCAAATATTTTTTACAAGTTTAAAGATGTTACCTATTATTTCTTAAAAATCATGAAATTAGTTAACTTTGTCCTATAGTTAAGATGTGTAAGGAAAGCTGTCAAACTTATATATTTAAGTAAACTCATGATAAAGATAAAAATTCAAATCTTAAGGTTGGATTGTAAACTCGTAAGAGTTTACTTTTATTAATAAATAATCATTTAAAATATGTAATTAAATAATTATAATATAAAATATAATTATAATTTTATTTGAATTTATTTTAAATATAAATATTGAAATTAAATCTATCTACTCAAAATTAAAATTTTAAAATATAGAAACTTATTTTTTCTATTTTATTCTTTATTAATATTAATTTTTTTAAGTTTTATTTTTATTTGAATTGTGCCCTGTCACTTCTATGAAGCAAGTTCTACACATTTAGTTTGAGTTTATGAGTAAATTGATATAATTATATAAACTAGAAACATGAAAAACAATAACTTCAGGTAGTTAACTCATAAATTTAACTGAGTTTTATTTAATTTGAATTCATAAGTGAATTAACATGATCATATAGTTAGAAACATAAAAATAATAAATTTAAAGAGTTAACTCGAGAGTTTGACAATCATGCGAGCAAGAGTAAATGGTTTAAGATGTATACATTTTATTTTATTTTTCCTGGCCATTAAATTGTAAACATTTTTTTAGGATAAAGGTGTTTTTTTTGCCTCAAAGTATTTCTCGAGCACCTAACACTCTAATGTTTTTGTTGGAATAATTTTGTCCTTAAACTTATTAAAGCGGAATATTTTTATCCTTTTTGCCAAATTTTTTAATGGTCAACGTTTGAAGTTAATATTGAAATTTTAATGGAAAGGGTAAAAATGCTCCGTTTTAATAACTTTAAGAGTATAATTACTCTAATAAAAATGTTAGGTACTAGGTGCTCCTTAAAAAAATACTTTAAAGGTAAAAATATACATTAACCTTTTTTTTAATAGTAAAAACTTTTTTGGTTTCTATTATATGATGTATTTTAGAAGAATTCTTTAATCCTCAATATAAGAAACTTGTTGAGATATTGATTATTTTTTTTAAGATTATCTCTATTTAAACTCATTAATTGTGAAAAATAAGATAATGCATCAAATTTGATTTTTTTTTGAAAAGAAGTAAATTTAAAAGTTTGTTGTATTTTCAAATAATTAAAATTAATTAACTTTGTCATATTTTTTTAACACCGGTAAAATAGTCAGATGTCTTGTAACAAAATCAGGAGGAAATATATATATATATATATATATATATATTGCCGTTGATTATTCGAGTAATAATCCATGACCGAAGAGATGAAAGGTCATGAACAGAACATGAACACACGTGACTGTGTACACTATGAATGAGTGTACACAATTGAACGTCCGTGGAAGTTGTAGATTATTCCTCTTCTCCGGTCAGTTTCTTGCAAGGCAAGAAACTCATGAATTCAATGAACAAAGTCAGATCTAGCTAGACGGGAATGCATGTGAGTTTTAGAAAATTAATCAGAAATAGACCTCGTCATCACTGATAATTACACAACACAAATATGCAAAGTTAAATGATCGCGTCCTTAATTTTGGTCACGTGGCAGCGCTACGTTCGTCTTCCACACAGCAGAAGCATGCGCCTCCAGTCCTACTATTTATCATGCCAATAATTAACTGCCCTCTTCCATCCCATTTATAAATCAAGTCATGTTTAATTTTATTTATAAATCATAATGCAATCTTTTAGGTAGTAGTTAAAACTTTTATGAGAAAGAAAAGAAACATAATATCACTTTTTAAATTTATCATATAAAAATATATTTAAAATTTTGTAAATTTTTATTTTTCATATCTTTTTGTATTAATATTAATAAAGTTAGTAGAAATGACTTACTATGAAGAGGATCAAAAGAATACGAAGGATTATTACGTTTTATAAGACATCTTTTTATAAAAATTGTAAAGACCAATAATAACAAGTAAATGTATTTAGAAATTTCATGAAATCATTTTTTTATATAAAAAAAATTTATAAAACTTGACGAGTGGTCCATGAACCGAATTTTTTAATTAATAACTCAACCAAATTATTTTGTGAATATTTTATCTGTTTGTAGTAATAATGGCTATTTTATAGTCATAGAATGTACGTTTAAACATGAGCATATAACTAACATAACGGATAAAAGAAAAGTATATTTTTTTAATAAAAAATACTCTACAATTTAAAGGCTAGCATTCCGTCATTAGTCATATATAATTTTTTTAATAAAAAATACTTTACAATTTAAAGGCTAGCATTCTGTCATTAGTGATATATAGCTGGAGAGCTTCACAAGTAAAATGGAATTTATAAATTTAAAAAATTTTCTTATCAAATAGTCTAGTTTTTTAAAACGTGCTGTTCCTTTAAATTTGCCTTCATAACATTGTGTTTTTGTTAAGAATTATGAAGCAGATATTATGAAAATAATTATTTATGAAGAGAATGAGAAATTTTCACCCAATAAACTAATATTTTAAACTTGATTTTTCTTTTTGTCTTAAAACAAGTTGCACTTGTAACACATTCGCCCTTTTGCTCTTGACGCTGTCTCAGTACAGTGTGCATACAAAATAATAATTGAATTAAAAATGTAGTTAAGATCATGTGCAGCTCAAAGCATTGCACGCCCCGTGCACTCGGCTGACCAGTGCGGTGCCATTCCCACCGTTTTCCACGGGCACAACACGATTGGGGGTCCCGGAGGAGCACAGGGGCGTGTAGGCGCTACTCAGAGAGAGAGAGAGAGAGAGAGAGAGAGAGAGAGAGAGATCGGCGATGGGCATCAGCGCAATCACTATATAGCCGCCGACATGTTGGAAAAAACATCGGGCGGATGACGGAAGCGATGACAGGATGTGGACCACCCACACGTGTTTATCACCCATTCACCATCTGCCACGTGTGGCTGCGGTCAACCTTCATTAAAACACATAACCCCCACCCCATCGTGCCCTACTCCCATCCCATGCCATGCCATTTCACTACCGTCACACAACTTTTACTAGTATTTCTAGATACACCTCCCCTAACCCACGTGCCAAATTGAGCTCCCTTTTTTTAAAAAAAAATTTATTTATTTATTTATTTTTTTGGAATTTCGGCTATAAAACACCAGCTAACCCGTGAGTCCTATGTTTCAAGACGCAGTAGAATTCGAGCGAGAAGGAGAGCAGCAGCAGCAGCAGCACAGCGAGAGAGAGAGAGAGAGAGAGAGAGTTGGTTCAGAACAGAGGCTAAGCGTAGAGTCGAGAAGAATGAATGGTGAATTGGAGTTACCACCTGGATTCAGATTCCACCCAACGGACGAGGAGCTGGTGAATCACTATCTGTGTACCAAATGTGCCTCTCACTCCATTGCTGTTCCCATTATCAAAGAGATCGATCTCTACAAATTTGATCCATGGCAGCTTCCTGGTACCTCCCTCCTCTTTCAACTCCCAATTTCTTCTTCTTCTTCTTCTTCTTCTTTTCTTTCTCACTAAATCTCTGCGATTCTGGATTTTTCACAAAAACGGAGCAGCTTTTCAATTGGAAAAAACTTCGATTTCTTTATAACTCTTTTCAGTTAGGAAGATTCCTCTCGGTTTGTATCAGATTTCACCCAGAAACAGACCTTTTTTTTATTGATATTAACTAATCGAACTGGGAAATCTGTTGATTATATGAGCAGAAATGGCACTGTACGGTGAGAAAGAATGGTACTTCTTTTCACCGAGGGACCGGAAATATCCTAACGGTTCGAGGCCGAACCGGGCTGCTGGAAGTGGGTATTGGAAAGCGACCGGAGCCGACAAGCCGATTGGTAAGCCGAAGGCACTGGGAATAAAGAAGGCACTCGTATTCTACGCGGGTAAAGCCCCCAATGGCATCAAAACGAATTGGATCATGCATGAATATCGCCTCGCTAATGTTGACAGATCCGCCGGCAAGAAGAAAAACCTAAGGGTATAGACTTAATTGCCAACTTTTTAGCAACTGAGATTATTTTTGAAAATCTATGCACTGAGATTAATTATTTGGTTTTATGATGTTATTATGGCAGCTTGATGATTGGGTTTTATGTCGAATTTACAACAAGAAAGGCACGATCGAGAAATACAATGTGGCGGATCAGAAAGCGGGCAAGCTATCAGAGTTCCATGACCATGAGACCAAGCCGGAAATCAAATCGTACGACCACAACAAGGGTCAGGTACCGGCGGCACCGTCGGCGTTAACAAACGACCAGTTCTATATGGACACGTCGGACTCGGGGCCGAGGTTGCACACGGATTCAAGCTGCTCGGAGCACGTGGTTTCGCCGGACGTCACGTGCGACAAGGAGGTACAGAGCGAGGCCAAGTGGAACGAGCTAGGGCTAGGAGAAGATGATGGGTTTGATTTTGAATTGAATTACGGTTATAATAATATGAATATGAATAACCTCTCGGGAGAAGATCCTTTTGCCTCCTCTGTACAGTACCAAATGAACCAGCTCTCGCCATTGCAGGACATGTTCATGTTTCTACAGAAGCCATTTTGAACAACACAGAAGAAGAATGGGTCCCACTCGATTCAATTCATTCTACGAAAGAGAATTAGATACGAACTAAGCACGTGTTGATTGTGTAAATATTCTGAACAGCTCTTCATAATGGACTTGTATGCTTTGATGAGTTTTTATCAATATTTTACACAGTTAACTAATATTAAGGTATTCAATCGAAAAGCTTGAAGTTAGGACCATATTGCTAATATGGAAAGATTCTGTAGGACATTCTTGTTCCTCGGGGACTGTGGCAGAATTTTTTCATATAACTGTAATTGTAACATCTAACTTTATTCGTCGATTGAATGAAAACGCTTAGCTGTCAATTTTTACAAAACAGTGATTGATGATTAAGACAAATTGTTCAGCTGTCCAAGTTTGACATTTCCAAAAAATAAAAGATTCTACTTTGAACCAGAAAACGTTATGGGCAGAATTAACATGAAGCAATGTCAAAAGGAGGAACTTTCAAAATAAATGCTCAAAAACACTTTGAAAAGCTGCACCTACTTACAAGAAATCCTCCGTAAGTCAAACTAGCGTAAGAATATACAGTAATCATCATATCAGGATATACCCAGAGAGTTTTTTCAATGTTTACCTTGTTATACAATTATACAGAATTCTATCTTCATAACCAAACATACATATACAAATTGCAGATGATACAGTTCTTCTGCCATGGACAGCAGAATTCTGCTATCTAGATGATATGATATACCAAAGATTATTATGAGCGGACAAAGTAGCGATTATATGATCATATGCTGAAATGTTTAGATTTTGGAATACGGTCACAGTTTGCATGTGACCATCCAATCAACTGCTTCTCATTGTCGTATACCATCAATTTGTCTAGCATGGATATGTCTGCAAAAACAAGATGGCTTTATAATGGAAAGTTCTTACAGAATTATATAGCAAAAGCTGCAAAGAAGAAGAAAAAAGATATGAACATACCTCCAATCAGGTTGACATCTCCCATGCCTACTTCAGCGCCGTTTAGTATGCCCAGGCAAACATTTCCCAAGTTCTGGAAGAATAAATTATATATAGCATTAAAAAATAACTCAGGTCATATAAACAAGAATGTCCTAGAAGATATTGGTTATGTCTGGACTCACTGATATTATCAAGTAAGCTTCAGGAGGGATTTCAAATACAGCTTTAGACCTTCTACCAGTGGTGAAACTCAGAGCCAAAGGCTTGAAGTATTTCCTGACTTCATTTATGCTTCTGAAAGGTCTTCTCCCATGCCAACAGATAGGTACAGTCTGGTCATCAGGTGCTTGTGATAAGGGTTTTCCATGTAATTCCTTCTTTAACTGCAATCAAAGAGACAAATCATCTTTAAGTCGCCCATCAAATTCGATTCGCCATGATGAGTTCTGCATAATTTCATTTGCTTCAAGCTTAAGCCTATCTAACTGAGGAGTGTAGTGGGAAAAAAAAAACGTTTTAAACTAACCCAGGAGACTAGTGCTTGGTAAGCATGGAAGTTGAAGTAAGTGTAAGAGCTTCCAGTGTCAAATACCGCGAGAAGATTTCCAACCCCGGTCACCTTCCCGCCAAAAAGGAGTTCAGCTGGCCCTGCTGAGTAATGTTTACTGACACAAATTACAAACACATCCACAGGGATTAGAATATAAGATCATGTGTCATGAAAGTAGACAAGGAAGATGTAACATGTGGCATGCCTACTTACGAGTCTATGGAAGACATAGAAGTCCAAGTCACTCGAGAAGATTCAGAAACATCTCCAAAGAACATATATCCTCCTCCGTATGTACTTAAACAGTGTCCAACTACATTCCGCAGCAAGCCCTGACTACTGAGCTGAGTTATTAAGCTGGCTCTTCCTCTGCCAAGGCCAAGTACTCCATCAACGGAGTGGTAAGAGTAAGCAGGAAAAACCTGATCATATCCACATCTGAAACAGAAAAGCTAGCAAAACTGGTGAACTAGAGATTACATAGAATGAAACATGAATGAATTAGACATAGCAAGGACTTATCAAGGCTTTATTGTAACATGAATAATTTTTTCTTCTGTGAACAATTATAGTCTTGATCAATATTTAGATTTAAACTAGTCACAGAATTAAAAACCTAAATTTCTAGAGAGAAAACAAGACAACATGGAAATGAAAGAGATTAAGCCATTAAGGCAAAAGTAAGCTTACTAACCCAAGTCCCATTCGAACTTTAAGTTGTTTTCCATTTGTAAAGTTGAGATGATAGACATCCTTGAGGAGTACGCCAAGGGTTGAATATTGATCTGCATACTCAATTTCATAGTGACATTGATCTGGGTAATCACAGTTGTAGTCAGTACTCTGATGCAAGGATGCACATAGGGGATCATCACAAGGCACTAAGTCATTGCTTGGAAGGTAAAGCGGATGGGGTGTCTGAAAAACAACGAACAAAGATGAGCTGTTCACTCTCATTCGGTGACATTAAAGAACACAACATTTTAGAGAATCATCATCTGGGACATGATGAGAAGCTTCTTTGATGTCGTTGGTGATAACAGATAAGTACCTCAGAGCAATGGGAGCAAGGGGCATCGCATTGAAGCCATGTGAGGTCACTACCTGTGTCAAGATCAAGAAAATAAGGTCTCGGTGGCTGGCCGATGGTGAGAGTAACATTGTAGAACCTGCAAATGGAGAGAGTAACAGTGACATAGTAATCACTAATTCCTTGATTTATTGATTCCCAGCTTGCATGATGAATGAAGACACCCAGGAGGAAGTGGAAGTTTTCATTTTCAGTCTCTCATCGTTACCTATTTCTTTCTTCACAAGAATAAACCACAAAAGAAGAATAAAGGTATGCCTTGTTCAGAACTTATATTTATGTCACGACCTCTATTTGGCCACCATCCGCCATGGCATTAAAATCCAAACCGAGTCGGCGAGTAAGACCTATGAACTGGTGAACTAGTTCTTGACCGGCCTAGTCAAGAATATTGTACGTGTGAACATCATGGATACTGTGTATACATATATATATATATATATATATATTACTTTGCTGAACTCAAAACGACATCATTTTGAGTTAAAGAAATAATTATAACCAACCATATTGACCTTGGTTCAATCACGGTTCAAACTACTTACTCTTAAAAGGCAGTAGGCATTTAGAGTGTCACTAAGATGCTAGCTTGTTCTTTTAATGAAGAACGGGCGAAATCATTAATCAGCATATGGCATAAGCAAGAAAGAACCTGGCAGTTAACAAGCCCGGATCATGATGGGAGACAGAATACAACAACACGATGAGAACGCACATGAAAAAAAAATTACATGTCATTCCAAGTATCAAATTACGAGCATCATATATAAGCCACGAGACTCTGTTTTTGAACAATAAGTGTTTTGTAGACCAGAAGATGATGAAGAAAGAAACGAAAAGAAGAGGTACCGACCCAACAGGATAAACGTTGCCGTGAACCTGAAACACAACGGAGGAGCCCGCACGATTTAGGACCGATGATGAAGACGACGACCATGAGGATGATGTTGCTTCACCTGGGAAAGCGGAATTCTTTACACTTTTGTGTTTATTCCCAAACCAAGCTGAAGAAGCTGACAAGTTCAGCAACAGCAGAGTGAGCATCACTAATCCTATGTTCCCAGTCTTCACCATTTCCATCAATTTCTTTTCTGTTTCAAAATATCAGTATCTTGAGATTGCAAAGACTGAGAGGTAACAAGTGTTTGATAAAATGCATGAAAGAAAAAAGGGAGACTGGATTGATTATAAAATCCCTATGATGGTGTTGTGGTTTGTTTCTTGAGAGAGTTGACAAGAAAGGATTCATGGGTATTGCTTGTTGGTGTCAAATTTCTGCTTAAACCTTTCCCTTTCATCTGGGTTTGGTATTAAAGATACACAAAAACCTCATCTTTAGGATTGGGATTTCTTCAAACACGGAAGTTCATTTGTTCTTATGCTTTGCCTCACTCGCAGTCTCGAGTGAATCGTTCTTCAGAATTTTTCGTTGTTTAATATTTAATTTGGAGTGTGACAGTACCAATGGATGTGGGACACGTGGAGGGTGCTTTGTGGACAGTAATACTAAGTAATTTCGTCGAAACTTCTATCATTTTTGTCCCCATTAATTTTGACCAGCGTTTTGCGTTTTGCAACGTATTTTCTCGTTTAAAAATATAAAATATTTTTGAACGGGTTAGATGTTTATAAAATATTTTTAATTTTTTAAAATATAATTATTATTTTTTAAAAGTATCTTTAAAATAAATAATTTTATATTAATTTTAAGATAAAATATCTTATTAAATATGGATAAATATAAAAAAATATAATTAATTTAAAAATAAGTAATTACTTTATTAAAAAAGTAAAAATTGATTAAAAATAACTTACATTTTTGAACGGATAAAGTATACGAAAGGTTATCATATAATTTGAACTATAAATTATAGGTTTATAGATAATTTAAACTTTAAACTTTTATTTAATATATTTTAAAATATAAACAATTAAAATTCACCTGCCGTTAAAATTAAACAAATGGCTGTTACTTTTTTAAAAAATGAGACTTGATGTGTGATTTTACTTAAAGAATGGTAAGATAATGAGAGTAAAATTTGATAAAAATTGCACACTAAACTTCATTTTTTTTTAAAATAATGGCTGTTTGTTTAAATTTAATTGTGAAAGTAAAATTACTCTAACTTTAATTATTTAAAATTTAAAATATATTAAATAAAATTTTAAAATTTAAATCATCCAAATTTATAGTTTGATATTCAAATTACATATCAAACATATATTAACAGTTTCCCCCATGTATATGAAGTCTTATTTTGCTTTACGAGTTCAGGGCAACATTTATCCTGTACCTCTTTTTCCCTTTAACAATTAACGAGTTTTATTTTGGAAAAATTGCTCGTTTGGTCTTCGTATATTTAATTTAATTATAATTCAATCTCCAAACTAAATCATTATAATTTAATTTTTAAAACTTTAACTCAATTCTAATTTAATTCTTAAACTTTAACTTGACACAACTGAGTTTTTTTAGTCTTTTATAATTGATATGCATAACAATATTTAATTTAAAAGATATTTACCTACTAATTTATTTTCTTTCAAAAGTAATAAAGATTCTACATATTGCCATTCGTGATGGTTTTTTTGAAAAAAAAAAATCTTTATTTTTTGCTTCAAAGATCATGAAAAATGGACAGCACTATGAATAATAATTCAGTATAGCTATATTTTGTAAAAAATACATTCAATAACATTGACAATAAAATTATTATACAGTTATTACAAAACAGAAAAAATCAAGTAAAGGATAATTATAAAATATGTAATTAAATTTTTAAATTATTATTTTTAAGCTTTTAATTTCTAAAACTACTGCATGCTGTAATTTAGGATCCTAGCTCAGCTACCGCCTATATTAAACATGTGGGCGTATGAGTTTGTAAATATAAATTACGATAAACTACGATATAACTTAAACTCAACCATTGTATAAATGTCAGTTTTACAAGTGAGTGGTGAATAATAATTTATTTAGACCACCCAATCAAAGAGAGAATTATTTGAAAAATGTTCCCACTAATAAGGGCCTTCAACAATCTTTCCTTCTGAGGCGTATACGGAGGATACCTTATGGTTGAATCTGCATCAAAGCTTCTATATAATACTGACTTCTTATGGCTGAACCCATCAAAAGAGAATTTCCCATGATATGATCCCATCCCACTCTCGTCCACTCCTCCAAATGGTAATCCTTTAGTTGCAACCTGCACACACATTATCAATCTCAGATCCTCAGTCTACACAATGACATCTGATAATGCCATAAAACGCTGCTCTGTCACGTTGAAGAAAAAAGGGATATTTTCTCTATAGGATTTACGTTTGGTAATATTCACTTGCGAGAGGATCTATTTTGCAAACAGAGAAAAAGAGGTAAAATGGGGGTGGGATATGCGTGACAGATTTTGAGTGATTGATTTATATAGAACTGGTAGGAGAGAACCTACACCATAATCAATCCAACAGAAGTTAGAAAATATGTCAACTTCACAAGTTTCTAGTTCTAGTAGGATTAAGAGCTCTTTGGCAAAGTTGGTTTTTTATTTTGGTGTTACAGTTAGGTAGTGTCTAGACCAAGTTACTGCCTATAAATTCATCTTTCTGGTTTAGTCAAGACAGGTCATCATGGAGAGGCTAGGAAATTGAAGGGGAAAAAAATTCTTGCAATATGTGAACTAATCATCGGGGCAAGTTTGTGTGAATAAAAATTTGAAAATGGCACTGATAAGAAGAAAGAGAAATTATAAGAGGAGCATGGTTACATGTAAAATAGTGTCATTGATGAGCATTCCTCCAGAAGATATGTTCTGCACAAAGTCCTTCTTCAGTTTCTCATCGTTCGTGAAGAGATATGCAGCAAGAGGTTTTGGCTTTGATCTAATAATATCAAAGCTATCCTCCAAGTTGTCAACCTGAGTGAAAAGATCAAAACACAAGAATTCATGTCAAGTCAACTTGACCATATTCCTTGCTTGACAAGTCCTGAATGTAATATTCCTAGTACTCACAGTGAGGATTGGCAATATGGGTCCAAATATTTCCTCTTGCATTACAGTAGAGTCATCTGGAACATCCAATAAAATGGTTGGAGCAATCTTTCTGCAACAGAAATGGAAGATAAATGTTATGGTTCTATACTTCTATCATTAATGATCATTGCCAATCAAAAATAAGGGAAGGAAATGGTATATACTCACAATTGATTCTCATCCTTCTGGCCTCCTAGGACAATTTTATCAGATACCTGATCTTCTTCCAAGAGCTTCACCAGGCGCGCAAACTGCAATGGGCTCACGATCCGTGACATGTCTTTGGATTCAATTGGATTTTTCCCAAAGCAGTGCTCCAATTCATCTTTTAGAGCATTCATCTGTTGAGTAATGAGAATTCATCTACAATGCTATGTCTGAATTGAAGAGGACATCTTGAATCATTGAGACACAGTCTTACCAATGTTGAAGCAAATTCCCTTTTAGTGATAATGTAATCAACAGAAATACACGCTTGCCCAGCATTACATGCCCACTTACCAGCAATTATTCTCCTTGCAGCGACCTGAAATTTTCAATAATAAGTACACATCAATTTATGATGCTCTATGCAACACAATCACCTCCCAAGAAAAATATCCTGTTTTTGTTTTCACGAATGTTGAATGCTTATGCGGATGCACCAAATTTTATAACATTGTGGTGTTCATGCTTTAAATGTAATATTACTTGCAAGTTTATATTTGAATCAACAACAGCTGGGCATTTTCCTCCAAGTTCCAGAATCACTGGTGTAAGGTGTTTCGCAGCAGCAGTCATGACAATGCGACCTACCCTAGCACTACCTGCATAAGAAGCATCAAGGCAAAAAAGAAAAACCTTTTGAGACAAATGTTTTCTCTTACGTATGACATGTAAATACTGATAAATCTTGGTATCGTCGAATTTTAGTGGATATTCTTATGACATGTTGAAAGCAAAAAGCTACCTGTGTAAAGTATCTTGTCCCACTTCTGCTCCAATAATGCAGTTGTTTCAGGAATAGCTCCCTCCACAACTCTTATGGCCGAGTTATCTAGATAATCTGTGAGAAGTTTTGCAAGAAGCGACGATGTAGCTGGAGCGATTTCCGATGGCTTCAGAACAACTGCATTTCCCGCTGAAATAGCTCCAATTACAGGATCCATTGATAGCACTGAAGATGGGAACACTCAACTTTTAGGATCTTCAAACTAAAATGGTTAAAAATCATGAACACACACAGGTTTTTCTCAGGTATAAGTACATGTTTTAATGTGTGAACGGTGTAAGAAAGTAGGATCTTTGAAGTTTTACATACAGAAGGGGAAGTTCCAGGTTGAGATGACCAATACAACTCCTAATGGTTCTGAAACAATCTCTGCCGATGACGGGTAAGTTGTAATTGAAGTCTTCACCTGAAGGAGACAAAACAAAAGAAGTGTTGACCAAAGCTGATAAACCATTTTGAATTTAGAACTTGTTTTCCCTGTTATTCATGAATCATGACAATTACCTTTTCAGGCTTCATCCAATGCTTTAGTTCCTTAATTGCCTCGCTACATGCGGATTTTACCTGGGAAACCTGCAGCAGATAGCACATGCAAAAAGGTTAAGGTGATGATAAAACTCATGAATCTGTGAAGCATAGAAAGAAGCAAAATGTTGACCTCAGATATGAATGCTTCAAATCCAGGCTTGGCAAGGTCCTTATGAAGTGCTTCAATAATGTCCTTCTCCTTCTCTGCTAGCATCTTGGCTATGCTTTCCAACTGAGAAATCCGCCATTCGTAGCTCTTTGTCCTTCCGGAATTAAAGCTCTTTCTGAGATCTTTGACCAGAAAATTAGCTTCCTCTCCATCAAATCCTTGCTTCTTGTCCATTTCAGGCATTACTGATAGAGTTGCTGAACAACTTCACAAGATAACCAAATCTGAAGCTCCAGAGATATGTGCGCGTGCATGCGTGTGTGTGTGTGGGGGGGGGGGGGGGGGAGAGAGAGAGAGGGGATTACGGGAATGAGGAGAAACCAACACAGTGATAGTTGAAGTGAAGTTGCTTCTGGATGCTCTTTCTGTTCAAGCAGTGGGAGAAGAAGGCTCTGCTGCTACCAACTGGGGCAGCACTGTTTCTCAGCACGCAAAAATTGCTGTGACTGTTAAATTTGCAGTTTCTTCAGCCAAGTTCAAGCAATTCAACAACTTCGAAAATTCAAGAATTAAGCTCTAAATGAAAAAATAAAAAAATAAAAAAGGACAGGGGGAAAAAAATACCTTCTTGATAAGAACGAAGCAGGACACAGGCTGTTCATTGTGGAACCAGAAAAGAACTATGGTGGCCTAGCCCTGGAAGACAAGCGAAATGAAGACGGAAGATGATTTCTGAGCCATGAAAATTGAAAGGCAATATCATAGACATACAGAGGACTCGTGTTGTGCGGCACCACGTTAAAAATGCACCTATTAGCTGGGGAGAGAAACATTTTCTTTAAAAAAAAGAAAAGAAATTAGATTGTGGAGTACCCTCGTTTCAGAATTGAGGAGTGAAGTTGATAAAGAGAAAACATGTGGAGGGATTTCACACGCAGAGATTCAATTATTGAAGGACCGTTTCAGTCCAAGACAAAAGTTTTGCGCCATAAAAAGCAATAGAAGCGGCCCCATATCTCTGAAAGCGGCCACGTGATCAATGCCAACTCTTACCTGATACGTCTTCGTGCTAACAACGTAACGTGCTTAGTTCATCATCATTTGCAGATGGTGGGGCTTCGTGCATGTCAGTGTCACAGATTTTTTTTGTGGCTTGGTTCAACCGGTGACCTGAGGACCAATTTGTAATTTTGATTGAACCAGGATTTGAATGAATCGAACTAACCCGATTTTGTCCCCGTGTAGCCCAATCAACCCGGTTTTAGCGGATTTTGTGTGGCGCGAATCAGCCAATGTTATTACAATTAAACCAGTCATTGTATTAATTGAGGTATTAATATACAGATCGACCATAATCAATCATGAAGAAATTAATATATTTTAAATTTTAAATATTATATATTTAAAATAAAAAGAAATAATTACATATAGTAATAAAAATAAATGTTTAAATTTCAAACAAAATAATATACGGTAAAAAAAGATAATATTTATCAATATTACATCATTTTCATCTACAATATATATAATTATTTTATAATTTATAACTTTTTTTGGTAAATTATAATTTATAACTCTAAAATACGTATATATATACATAATTTATGCATATTCTTGCATTTTTTCATTTCATAATACTTATTAAATACAAAGATGTATAAATCATAATTTAGAAAAATGAATTAAAATTAAAAAGATGCAAAAATAATATGTCCATTTCAAACGGTCTCTTTCTAGTTTTAGCTGGTTGGTCCTTGGCCGATCCTCAAATTTTAGAACTTTTTGTGGTCATCGGATTGAACTTGGGACCTATTCCCAATTAAACCATCCGGTCCAATTTAATTTTAATATCATCGGAATCAACAGTTCAAATAGGATCCTTTTGTAGTTGTCGGTGCACTCATTTTGACTTATGCCATTTTCAAGAATGTATAAGGATAGTCTCATTTCTCGTGGAAAACTCAAGGATATGTTATTGAGAATATGATAAAACATAAATGAATGGCTATTAATGGAATATAATGGAGTGGCGTGTGATAGAATGGAACGAAATAAAACATTTCATTGTTTTGGATTTTTATTGAAGGAATAAATAATTCTATTTAATCATTATATAAGGATAATTGTAAAATTAATAAATTTGAATTAGATATAGTTATATTTTTTAGTATGGTGAGGGGAGTGAAAGAGTAAGAGTAGGTGAGAAAGATGAGGGTATTTTTTTTTTTATAATATTATCTATACCATATCATTCTATCATCAATCCCCCATATTGGAGGTAAAAAAAGGGTTCAGGATGTTAGGGGTAACCTACTTCTTACTTATTTTAATGATGTTTTATATTTAATTTAATTTTTTAGTCATGACTTTATAACATTTGTTAATACTGTTAGAGGCCATTAAATATTGATCATCACTTAATCATTTGGTACTACTTCAAAAATATATTATCTCAATTTTCTTGCTGGGGAACCAGAGGGATGACAAGTTTTATTAGAATTGATTAATATGTAAGTGCATAAAATAAGTATTTCATATATTTATTTATTTATTTATTCAAATTCAATATTAACATATTTTTTACTTTTATATTAGGGCAATTGTGTTGGATTGCTCAAACACAAAACAAACAATTTTAAGTTTTATAAATTTTGATGCGGCCTACGCTTAGAAAATAATAAAAGTAATTAGCAATAATTGAATTTAATATTCATAGTTTTTTAATACATTGATACATACTCCTGTCGTTTAAAAATACAAGGCATTTTTAATTTTTCGAGGTATAATTATTATTTTTTTTAAAGTGTCCCTATTAACTAATGACTTTATATTTATTGTAGGATGTTTAATAGGGATAAATATGAAAAGATAGAATTAGTTTGAAAATAGGTAACTATTTTATTGGAGGTGAGATTTTATTAAAAATGCCTTATTTTTTTAAATGGATGGAGTATTTGTTAGTTCTCTAATTTACAGTGCCCAAGACAAAAGCAACATAGCTTGGAACTTGGATTATGGCTTCTACTTGATAAGATTCATAAAGGACATCATTATTAATAATGAGAACACAATTTTTGATATGTTATATCAAAAATATTCACTTTATAAATACTAATGAATTTAATTTACTTAAATAAATTTATAGTGAAAAATTTATATATTGCAATGCTATGTTTATAGTTTTACTAGTACTCCATTACTTGATAATACATACATTAGTTTTCTTTAAAAAACTTTATACATTAATTACTTGATAGATTAGAAAAAGAAATTTATTTTGTTTAATTTTGATTGATTGCAATTCTTATTCAATTGGTACTCATATATGAAAATATTAAAATTATTATTTGGATATTATTTATATAGTTGTTCTGGGGTTGGTATAAATAACAACCCTCCTTTAAAAATGCAAAGAATAAATGAAAATTAAATAATAATTATTTTTTCAAGAATATATGATAGGTATTTGAAATAGTTTTTTCACAGTTATTATATATGATGGGTATTTTAATTTCAAATAGTGAAACATCTATCATATATTATGAATAAAAATTATGAGTATTTTAAGTATCCGTCATTTATACTTTGATACTTTATAGAAGAGACCAAAAGAATATACTTTTAAATAATAGGTTACTTAACCATCTCTTATGGGCAAGAATAAATGATGAGGACATAACCATTATATAAAGAAAAAATTTAAATGATAGAATAATAAATAACAATTCTTAATTGTCATTTATAGGCAAAAATATTTGTCATTTATAACTTTTTTATAGTAGTGTAAAGCTTATTGTTTTGTTGGGATAATAAATTTTACAGTTGTTTAAATTTGTCTCAATTATTAATTTAATTCTTAAAATATTGTATTTGGTTTGAAAGAATAGAAGGGAATTTAATAGATAGGATGTAATGACTTCCGTCATTAACCTCCAATTAAATTAGACAACTATGGTTAAATAAACATTCACTTAATGAAATCAAACTCTATATGTGAGATCCCAAAATTAAATTAAAAATGTGGTTACATTTCTTTGAAAAAATTATAATATATTTAATATGGGAAAGCATGGAAAAAAGAGAAAACCATAAAAAAGAATTATATTAGTTCGCCACAATTAAATATTGACTCACTCACTGTGGTAGATGTTACCTTTGCCTCGACTATTGACACTCATAACATAACTTGTAGCATGGAGATATTTTCTCATTGCGGCCTATATGCTTCCTGATCACATGTGAGATTGCCTTTCCTAACCCATTACTTGACCTTAGACATCAAGGTAATCATGAAATCAATATAAAAAGATTACCATCTCATATGGAAATCATTACAGTCTTCAAAGCATTAAAAGTGATAAAAATAGGATTTCAAGTTTTATAACTTAAAAGCCACTCAAATGTACTTTTCATAAGTCAAGGTCAAAGTAAAATTAGGTAAAGAAGTATGAGGGATATCATTTTACATACAAAGCACTTGACTCAATGGTACCAGGTTCAGCCTCAACTTTGTTATGTAGAGAGGTTGAGGATTGAACCTGGGGAGGCTCTCCGCAAGGAGAATAATCCTACACACTACTGCGGGAAAGCCTTTGTCTCTTGATGCTCACCGTAAGGGGTGGGGTCGCCCTGTTGTGGGGCCTGGGGGGAGAGTGTCCAGCGCCACAAAAGACCTCGGGGAGGCGAGGTGAGCGAAGGGCTGTTACATTAAAAGGCGCTTTTTATATAAAGCACACGATTTTCACCCTACCCCACCGGAGGTCTTTTGGACTGAACTCACCCCACCTTCTCGAGGTTTTTTGTCCATACTGGGCCAGTTTCCCTCACGAGGCTCAGACCGGCATTCAGCACTGGTGGTACAGTGCCTATTCCTCACCCCACCAAAGAGGTCTTTTAGAACCTTCCCAGATTCGATCCTCCAACCTCTAGCACCTTAACGAAGTTGAGGCTGAATCTGGTACCATTGAGTCACTTAAGATTAACACACCAAATTTTTTTAAAATAATTTAACTCAACCATAGTTGGGTTACAGCCACCCAACACATTTTTATATCAATAATTTCAGTATAAAATATTTTATAATTGGCTTCAACTCACACAATATAATATTTTAGATAATTTTTTACCTCCCACATGCCATTAAGCTAAATCACATTTGTCCATCCTTATACTCCCAACAAGTAAACTAAATCACATTTGTTCATCCTTATACTCCCAACAGGTAAAATAAATAATTTAGTCAATTTTTAACACAAGCCAGTTATTTGGCCTCATAATCATGCCATTTTAACCAATCCAAAGTAAACCAAATATTAAAATTACAGTCATCCAAAGTATACCAAAAATAGAAATAGTTTGAAAGGCATGATTACATTTACATATTCATATAATTGTCAATAAACAAAAAGCCCTAATATTGACAATATAACACATTATAAATTATAAATTAAATACCCAAACAAGACAGTGGATCTATGCCACTAAGCCTTTGGAACTCCTTCACGTGTCACTCGTGGCTTTTCTCCTAAAAATTGTTAACCACATAATGAGACTCAAAAGTCCCAGTAACCATAGCCAATTTATGATAGTATATACAAACAGTTAAGTATGTGCTTATTAAGTGAGAATTAAAAATAATATAATTCTAACAAATATAAGAAATATTACAATACATACAAATAATCATCCTTATATCCCTCCATTAACCTCGAGCTACAGCCCTCACTCGGTGCTAAATTATCCGGTCAAAGGTAGATTAGCCCGAGCTCTTATAAGTCACCTATTGAACTCCAATAGAAGCGTACCACGTGGCACATAAATACAACAACAATAGCAAGTCTCCCAACACCTCCCACAATAATCAAACAAATTCATAATAATATTGTACAATTATACAATATTACAAAATTTATAATTTTCTCAATAATCACCCAATTAACATGAAGTAGCACTAATCACAAATTAAAAGCATGGTTACTTCGTGACTTTTTCAATAAATTATTTCTTACAATTTCTCTCCCACCACAATCTTACCAATAATACAATCTACAAATAACATATTATTTATAAATATTAGTTTCAAGTTTTGAAACTAATAAAATAATTCTAATAATAGAATTAAAAATATAACATAATTTTTAATCTCAATCTTAATACAAATTTAGAGTTAATACTATTAAGTAAAATTTTTAACTCCTCTTTTACTCATCAATAAACATTAATAATCTAAAAATCAACTTCTAAACTAATTTCTATTATCAAAATTTTCTTTTTATTTCATAAATTCGCACCTAAAATACCCAAAAATTAGAAATTAAGTCTCAAGCTTAGAATCATAATCTTATAGCCATAATAATTCATTTTTCATCCCAAATAATCATCTAAACCTCAATAAATCAACATATATTTTCAGATTTAATAAAAATCTAGTCTAGAATTTGATCCTTAAGCCACAAATTTAAAGATCATCAACAAATTTATACTCTAAAATATTTATTATACTACTAATAACCTGAAAAACCATATTTATTCAACATAAATTCATCCCTCCTTCAAATCCTAAATTTTCTACCATCACAAACTCAGAAACCAAAGAGAAAGGATGGCTAAGAATAAATTTTAGATCACTTACTTAGTTTTGAAAAGCTTGAAATCATACCCTAAATATCCTATTAAAAACTTTTACCTTAAAAATTTAGATCTTCCACACCGGCGACTCACGTTCACAGACGCTCTCTCTGATTGCACACAAAAGAGGAAGGAAATGAAGGAAAATGAGAAGAGAATGGTGACTTTTTAAAAATGAATGTGGATTCCACAACTTTTTTTATTATTTCCTCTTTCCTCTCTCTTCTTCTTCTTCTTTTTTATTATTATATAGGCATGATTGTTGCATGCAGCGGCCGAAAGTGCTTTCTTTTTCTTATTTCTTTCCTTCCTCTTTCTCATACATTTTCTTCTCATTTTTTTAATAATAATAATAATTTAATATATTTTTTATTAATTAATTTTTAATTTAATTTTTTAATTATTTTTTTATTTTAATTTAGAATTATATTCTAAGTTAGATTTAATAATCATCTCCTACTAATTTATTTACCTATAAATATTTTTTAAAATTTTTATTAACCTAAATTAACTATTAAAATTTAAATTGTGATGTTATATTAATCAACATAAAATTCATTATAATCATGCATTTAGACAATCCCTTGCGTCAGTCTTTTGGTCCTATTTAAATATCACAATCATTTTGATAAATGATAATTTTATTTATTTTTATCCTTTTAATTCAGAATTTTAAATATTTATTTAAAGCTAATTGAGTTTAATTGAATATTATTTGATTTTATTAGCCAATCTTTAACTTTTAGATTTCTAACTATTTAAATATTTAATTTTAAAATAAGAAAAATAAAATGAAAATAATTTAAATTTTTTGTTTTCAAAAACAAAAGTTGAAAACAGCATTAAAACAGAAAAAAAATTTAAAAACAAATTTTTAAATTTTTCTATTTTTAAATACTGTTTGTGGTTTTTGAAAATAGAAAACAAACAAGCCCTAAGTTTTTTTCTTTTAAAATTTTATTTTTAAATATGTCGCAAGGTGTAGTGATATTTTAGATTAGATTTTTAGTATTTTGATATTAAAAAATAAAAAAATGATAGAAAAATTATTTAAATTATAAAAATGATAGATTAATCTCACAAAATGGTATAATTCTCCTAGAGTCCCGTGGGATGTTTTGTCATTAGAAAATTAAAAGAAATGATCAAATTGCCTTCAAATAAAATGAAAATCTTAAGTCTCAATGCAAATTTATTCTTGCGTGTTCTGCCTCTACTTCGTCTTCTTGTTCTCCTCTTCTTCTCTTCTTCGTGCTCTTCTTCTAGTTAGTCTCCTTCTCCTTCTTCTCTTTCTCCTTTTCGTCTGTCTTATTTCTTTTTAAGTTTCTATATGTGGGTGATTTTTTTTTTTGTTGAGCTGCTATATGTGGGTATATGTAAGTAATCATTCTTCCTTTGGTAGCTATGCTGTACACGGGTTAATTTCCTTTCCTCCTTCAAAATTTCTCCTCCCATATGTAATAATTAAAGTTGATGTGGGTTAATATGTATAAATGATTGAGATCTTCATTTTTTTTTATGATTTAAGTTTTTATTTTCTCTGTTGTACATGAATGTGGATGCTTACTCATGAATAAATGATATATTATTTTAAGTTTTGTTGTAAATGCATAAAACAAAGTTGTAAATGACTAATATAAAGTTGTGAATATAAGAAGAATAATTATTGTTAAATAAAATATAATAGATATGTGATTATAATGTTTGAAAAAGAGACATATTGATAAATGACTATTTCATTATTTCAGGTTGGTGTGAGAAATGACTTCTTTTGCTTCTAGTTTTGAAATGAAATTATTTTGTTATTTTTACATAGGGGTACATTTTGTAAAAAATATTGAAGGTAAAATACAATATGATGGGAGAGTGTGAGGATAAAAATGATAAGAGAAGGGATGACACTAGAAGATTTAACCCTTCATATATTTTTGTCAAAGGAGTTGTAATGTATTTTGATAAAACTTATAGATCATGTAATTGACAACAAAACCTTAGATAGTTATCACTTTTTAATGTTTTCTTGTTATTTAAATTAATAAAAGTTGTAATTTTTTAATTAGGGTGATAATTCATTTTTGTTGATTTAATCAATTTATAGAGGGTACTGATAAATTATAATTTTTTATTGCATAGTTGCGAATCCAAGGACAAAAGTTGTTAATTAATATAGGAATAAAAGTTGTGAATAAAAAGTTATGAATTTTCAACAACTAATACATATTAGGATTTGCATATGTAGAGTTACGGATGATTATTGAACTATTGTGAATTTAGAAATAAAAATTATTAATACAGGAATAAAAGTTGTGAATTTTCAACATTTGATGCTATCAAGACCAATAAATAAGGAGTTGCAAATAACTATCAAATTGTTATAAATTTAGAAAAAAAGTTATCAATATAGAAATAAAAGTGTAAATGAAAAGTTACAAAATTTTAACACCCAATGCATATTAAGACTTGCAGATTAGGATTTACGAATAGATATTAAATTGTTGCTAATTTAAAAATAAAAGTTATTAATATATGAACAAAAGTTGTGAATAAAAAATTATAAATTTTCAACACTTGATATATATTAAGACCTACAAATTAAGATTTGCAAATAAATATTAAATTTTTGTAAATTTTAAAATAAAAATTGTTAATATATGAACAAAAATTATGAATTTTTTAATTTGAATAGAGGGTAAAAGCATCATTTTTTATAATTTTTTAATGACAGAAATATCCTTTGAGACTCTAAAAAAATTATATCATTTTATAAAATCAATCAATCATTTACATAATTTAAATAAATTTTTGTATCATTTTCTTTTAAAACATTATTTGGTCTTAGATGATATTTTTTCTAAAATCTTTATGATTTTTAGTCGCGTGCTATCCACCCGACTGCGGCGCGTCTGGTGGGGGATCTCGCCCTCGATGGCAAAGCTATAAGTTGCTCCTCGCTCGCTCGAATTCGAGAATGGCGAGTTTTTGCGAGATCTTGGGCGCCAGTCACCAACCTATTCCACACCCGAGGATTCCGAAACAGACTTCAAATTCAACACTTCAACACCAAAATAATGGAGAGAACAATATCCCTTGGTCTTCATTCTAGATTTCCGCTATTCCCCGGATTTCTAACTTCCCTGTTTCAGCCTGATTTGGAGCTGTATTATCGCTCACTTAAACGGTCGGATTTGACGAATCTTTGCGGGTCGATTATCGTCTTGTAAGTTTCCTCGTTTTGTTTTTCTTTCATTAATTCACTCTTTCTCTTAAAGAGCGTATCTGTGAGTCTCCGCAATAATCTCAATGCATTTAATGTACATGTGCTTCCTATTCTGATTTTTTTCCCCTGATAGTAGTATTTCTCCTTTTTCTTCCATGGTTGGTCATGTCGTCTTCTTGTCAGCACTTGTTGTAGTTATAGTGGCGAGAGGCGCGCTGGATTTGGAGGCATTAGTTTGAATCTTAGTTTCATTCAGGATTGAGATTAGTTCTCCCCCCCTTTTGCTCCTTCTGTTATCCCTTGGTGTTTGGTGATATGGGCAAAGGGCTGTCAAAGCTCGAAACTTCACTGGTGAGTATGTGTAAAGAGAGAAAAGAGTTTATCAAAGCAGCTACATATGGTCGGTATGACTTAGTTTCAGCCTTTGTCATGTATTTACACTCCTTGTTAGACGTAGGCAATGCCCTTAACCGATATGTGGAAGATGAGTTAGTAATTTTTGATGACACTTCTCAGGTTTCTGGGTCTGATTGTGAGCCATCTGAGGAAACCTCTCACCTGGAATTTCCCTCCTCTGACTCTGAATTGGATTGGGATTCATTAACTGATCATGTTCATAGTGACAAGGAAGTACCGAGACTCCCTAATACAGAGAATCGAGATCAATCTGCAGCCAATCTGAGTATAAAATGCATGGAAACCTGGCAAAATGAGATACCAGGGGAGTTTCCTAGGCAGTCATGGAGTACGCCTTCAAGTCATCCCCATCATAGCTGTCAACAGAATGCTCATACTCACGTGGATATGTTGCATGAAGATTCTCTTCACTACGAATATAATCAGCGGTTTTCATTTAGCAATAGAAGGGGAAATCCACAAAGTCGTCATAAGTATCGTCACCATGCGAATCAGGACTTACCTGGATCTTCAATGGGTTTTTCCTACTATGACGATAGGTATCTACATTATCCAGCTGAGGCTATTTCTATGGCTATACCCTCCAGTTTTCCAAAGTTCCAGAAGCATGTAGCTGAGCAAAATCCCCCACCCACTGCTTCACCTACTCCTCCCCCTCCTCAAGTCTCTACATGGGGTTTCTCATATTTATTCGACTTGAATGATGATAATTATTATGAAAATATTCATCTTAGTTATGGTCATAACACGAGGTCTAACAGTAGCGATTGTGATGTGAGAGAAATAAGGGAGAGAGAAGGGATTCCTGATTTGGAATATGAAGCAGAACAAGGTTCAAAAGACTCAGGATTTGATGAGAAGGGGTTGAAAAGAGGGAATCTCAACTCAGGTGATGGCACTTCTAATGCTGCGCAATTAAGTTCTCGTACAGATGCATTCTTTGATGAAGAAAGAACACCTAAGGATAGAGACAGTAACACTGAGAAAGAGATCAAGGCTAATACTGAAATAGTTGCATCAAAGAACTTGGAGCCTGGGATCAGGGAAGGTGAGAGTTCTGATGCAGAAGAAGCAATGGTACTAAGCAGTAAATCTCTAGGAACATGTTGTATTTCCTCACCAGTTACTAGTTGTAAAGTGGGTCTGAAAGAAGCAATACAGGATATAAAGGATGAATTCGAAAACTTAATTAATTTTGGAAAAGACTTCTCAGCAACTATTGAGGTGGGCAAGCAACCACATCACTCCTTGAGCTCCAGGTTAAGGGGTAGGATATTATGTGTATAGTAGCGTTAATCTTAGCCATCTTAATCACACATGACATGCTTGTTTTTTTCCCCCTCCTGTCTTTATTCTGTTCAAATGTCGAAATATCCATGGATGATTCTATGATTAGACTGCTTTAGAGAAATTTTAAAAAATATCCATAAAATGTGATGCTGCTATCAGGCCCCATTTGGCACACAGAATGGAGTGAAATAGAGAAGGGAATCTATTGAGAGAAAGAAAAAAAGTAAATCTGTTGGTAAAAAGTGACACTTAAAAAGACGTTGTGTAATGATTGCATGGGTATAAGAACCAAACAAGACATTATTCTAACTTGTTATGACAGATGGCGTGCGCCGGAGAACTTGATTATTGAATCCTGTGATTCAAAGTGTAGGATAGAGCAGATATGAAGGAAAAATGAAAGAAACAAAGATACAGGAGAGGATAAAAGGGCAGAGATCTAAATTTATGGAGCTGAAATGATCAAAGAACTCAAGACATGGGTCATTTGTTCAATTTGACTGAGCTCAGTAGGACATGTCAGTTTTTTGAATGATGAAATGCAACATTTTGGCTTAAATTATACCTTGCATTTTGTTTGGCAGTTTTTTGAATCATGCAAGGCAAGATTTCGGCAGTCCATTCTTCTAGCAACTAAGATCTAAGTTGGCATATCTTGCTAACTCAATTTCATGCAAGACACATGGCATAATCTTGGTTGCTTGAAGAATCGATGGCTTAGATCTTCCTTGTATAATTTAAAAATCTAAAATATTGGATAACAAAGTAAATGTTTCATTTTTAAGCTATTGTGTTTGATTATTCCAATAGGCATGTCCTATTGTATTTTGTCAAATTGAACCAATGACCCAAATTTTGCTGACTGCTTTCTATCATTTTGGCTCCTCAAATTTAGAGGGACCCATTTGCTGAAAGAAAAGCAGTTGGGATTACTTGACTTTCAACTGTAGCTTGTATGTATCCTTAATAAATAGATTACATCTGATTAATATATAAATAAGGATATTGTTGATAGAAAAGTCAAATGTGTCAACTTTTGGTATGAATCCAAGGGAACCAGTGCAGAAATTGTCTCTTGACGCACAACAATAAATTACAAAGGACATCGTTAATGCATGAGTCAGAATTTCATGTCCAGTGTTATATGTCTGATGTGAACACTGATGAGATAATCTGGAATTTTTGTGGATTTCTGTCTGTTAGCAGTAATTTTTTTTGGGGATGAAAAGCAGTAATTTTAAATCGTATAGTTCTTGTAAGTAACAAGTGGCTGGAATGGCAATTAAATAACTTTCATCTTTTGAGGCTAGAACTAAAACAGCAAATTATATCCTCCTTTGCAGGTTTTGCTTCTCTTGTCCTGGGACTGATTTTTCCTTCAGTAGTGAAATGTTCGCATCCTCCTCCACGTATTCTGTCAAACTTATTAGCTCACAAAGGACAGCTGTCGTGCAGTACTGAGAAGACAAACAATCAGGGACGTGTTTCTGCAATGTTTGGTGACCTTTCATCCGCTTTGGAGCTGCTGTGTTTGTGGGAAAAAAGACTTTACAAGGAAGTTATGGTAAGGAATCACTTAAACTTATAAAAGCTTATGCCTTCTTTTTTGATAATGTGAAAAACTAAAATTTGATTTTCTCCTTTTAATTGATTCCAATGGCAGGGTGAAGAGAAACTTCGAATTCTATATGAAAAGAGATATAAGAGGCTCATAGATTTGGATGGTCACGGTGCAGAATCAGATGAGATCAATGATTCCTGGGCTTCTGTCAGACATATGCAAACAGAAATTAGTGTAGCTGTTGCATCAATTAGTGTGGTATCAAGAGAGATTGAAAGGTTAAGAGACGACAAGTTGCTTCCTGAACTCAATAAATTGATTGAAGGGTATGATAAGTTTTAACGCTCATTATTTATATGGATTCCTATGCTATCAATACCTGATGCTGCTAAAATTATCTATGAATTCAGTGAAAGATTATGCAAGGTAATCACCCCATCTCTTGGCCACGAGCATGTTAATTTTCTCTTTCTGTACTTCTGTGAGACATTAGTGACAGGTCCTTTTATCCTCTGCAATGCTTGTTTGAGGCAGTGCGGTAGGCAGTTCTTGCATTGCAATACATTTACTGTGGTTTTATATCTAGTCATTTAATATACCTATCTTGCATCTTACTTTTGTGTACTTTACACCTTGTTTGTTGGGCATCTATCAGAATTATTGATGTCTCGACTCCGTTGATTTTCCAAATAATAATATACAAGCAAAGCACACTCGAGTTTAGAATAGATGGTGGGTAATACAGTTTGAATGTTGGGGTTTCTAGAACTTGCCTAATTAATGATTTGTATAGATTCCATACCCGAATTATAAAATGGAGGAAGATTTGTACACCTTTTTTCATGGTTGTAACTTTTATTAATATGATTTATTAATATGATTGCTCAATGTTGTTTTATAGATTAATAAAATTGTGGAAGTATATGGGAACGTGCCACCAGAAACAAGTCCAAATCATCATGAAGGCCAAAAGTCACATACATATATTAGATCCGAGTAGGAATCGTTCAAACCCACGGGCTACTTCAAGACTGGAAACTGTGATCTTGAACTGGGGCATATGTTTTAGTAATTTTGTAAAAACACAGAAGGACTTTGTGAAGTCCTTGAACGAGTGGCTTCTAAGGTGTATGCTCCCAGAACCTGAAAAAACTGTAAATGGGACTGATTCTTTCTCTCCAAGCAGGATTGGAGCTCCTCCAGTTTTCAACTTATGCAATGACTGGTACCATACAATTGACTCGATTTCAGAAATTGGAGTTTCGAATGCCTTTTCTAATTTTGCCTCCGGCTTGCACCATTTATATGAGAAGCAGAAAGAGGAACAAGCACAAAAAGCTAGAGTGGATAATCTCTTGTGGGATTATGAGGACGGGCTTAAATCCCTTCATAAGAAGAATCATGTGAGCTTTCACCGTGATTTCTCTTCTATTATGGCAGCCTTGGAGGATGACGTAGAAGCTGAAGTTCCCTTACTGGAGGGATTTGATGAGAGTTTAAAACTGTTAGGGAAAAGATTACTTGAACAGAGAGCAAGACACACAGAGGTTATAAGACAGGTCAATGACACTGCTTCAAGTTGCTTACAAGTGGGTTTATCTCCCATTTTTGAGGTATTGGAGTGCTATTGTTTTGAACATCTCAAAGCTTATGAGCTGCTTAGACTTCCAAATGCTGCGTCGCATGAGTAGCATTTCTTGATTCGGGAATGCTTGAATTTTGACAAGATATGTATGTGTGTGTCTCTTTGAAGTGTAAAATTTAATTTGTAGGATATATTCAAGCAAAGAATGAAATTTTGGTTATGCTGGAAGGAGAGTATAAATTGATTTAGAGCTTCATAATGAACCATGAAATTAGACAACAATGGGTCTTTTTTTCCCCTGCACGACCCTTTCTTTTAAGTAGTCGAAAAATGAGTGGGTTCAGCTCTTATGGGTTTAGCTATTCAGGTCCATAAGTTTGGTTTACCTAAAAATAGTAGTTTTATGAAATTTGACCATTATTTAAGTGGTTTAAGGTTGGGTCTGCAAGTTTTTTTATTCTTAAAATTTATTCTTTTTCTAAAATATAAATTGTAATATTCAAAAATTAAAAATAAGTAAATAATTATAGTTTTAATATATAGACATATATTCTAAAATCTAAACTTAATTTAAAATTTTAAAATATTTTATTTTTTAATATTAAAATAAAAAAAGAGCCTAAACAAGCTGGTTAAGCCTAAGTTTTTTTTACTGAGCCTAACAATGTCAGGTTTAAAAGTTTAATTATATTAAAAAATTTTAATTATTTAAACCCAAACTCAGGCTTAAATTAATAATTTGTCAAGCTCAGCCCCTCTTTCACGCGCTTCTTTTGGGAGACTAGATGAGGCACTAGTCTATTCTTGCAACTAATGATTTAAATAGGCCTTCTTGCATAGATGGTGGTAAAATTAGGACTTGATTTTATTAGGCTGGGTCAAAAATGTGAATGAGAAAGCAATTTTCGATTGTTTAGTTATTAACTACACTACTTCCTTTGTTACTATTTGTAAAAAAACTATTACTTTTTTATTTTTTTTTATATAAGCAAAATCACATATTTGAATAAGCATTTATTACACAATTTTGAAATTGACCCTCCTAATTTACATTAACGAAAAATAATTAATGTATACTTATGTTGATTAACATAGAGCATTTTAATCCAATTTTTTTATTTTTAGATATAATTATTATAGTTAATTAACTTTTTTAAATTGTAGATACAGTTTTTTTTTTATATATAAAAGTGGAGGGAGTACCTTAATAATCATTTGTTCATGTTCTCATTTTCTTCATTATTTCATTTCTATTATATTTGTTTTAATTTGCGACTTGTTTTTTGTTTGCTTAGCTCTGATTAGGGTGGAAATCAAATTAATCGTTAGACATGACTAACAAGGGAAATGACTTTCTAATTTTGCATCTCAATTCTCAAGACACCTAACTCACCCAATGTCATCTATTCTCTAGCATTTTAGCTCATTTGAATTTCAGCTTCTTAGACTTGTAGTATGATTTGAAAACATAAAAAAAAAAAAAAAAAATCCTTCTGTAACCTTTCAGCTTTTAGGTGTTTTGTAAAGTTTTTAAACGCTTCTCACTTAAAACTTATTACATCAAATACAGTGATAGTTCCTCCAAACCAAAGTTTTTCACATGGATTCTAGTTGTATCACTCATCATATGCAAATGCATTCACTCTTCAACACTAGATCAAGGCTTTGCAGAGTTGAACTTGACAGAATTAGTTAGAAACTACACAATTATAATCACGTATTTAATTATTTAAATACAACACAAAAATGATTATTAAAAAGGAAAAAAGTTATTATTAAAGGAGAATAATACAAAATGGAGTAATTATTTTAAGTTTCTAAAGACTTCTCTAACATTAAGTTTTTGCAAAATGACCTTTCTCTAACTCTTGGCAAAATAAGAGAAAGAAACACCCAAACAAAGTTGTCATTTGCTAATTCAGTCATTAATCGAAGTTGTTATTTCCTAAACTGAAACTTTCATTAAATTTTAACAGATTCCAATACTAAAAAATTTACATGATGAAATATAAGATGTGTCATTAGGACTAGAAGCAAATCCTAAGGTGTTTACATGAACAACATTCAATTGCCATAACATCAATCGACATGAACAGAACTGGTTGTACAAGATAACTACAACTAGAACTACAAGCAAACACGTTTTCCAACCAAAATCCAACTCGAAATGGTAAATCACAATTGACATAAGGAGTTCTTTCCTCATCACGCTGTCCAATTAATGTTACATTTATTTTACGTCTTAGTTTATCTGTTTAGATCCTCTCCGGTTTTGAACCTTATGCTTCTTTAAGTCTTGTAATTTGGCAGCATACTGGCTTGCCAAAGCTAGTAGATAGGGGATGACGTCTTTAGGTTTAAGCAAGGTGTGGGTTAATCCTTGCATGGTTTTGTGACTTGAGTAATAGGTATATATGCTTTATGACCCAAAAAAAAAATGTTACATTTATTTTATTGTTCGAATAAGATCATAACTATACATGAAAGTGGTGATAGTAACGGAAAAAAGAAAAGGAAAGAGAGAAAGAAAAATATGCTTGAACACACTCGTCTGCAACTGCAAGGTTGATAAGCCGCAGGAAGACGAAGACCCACACTAGCAGCAGATTTTCCAATGACCCTTTTCACTTCGTCAGTTCTATCCACAGCAATATTGTAAGAGAACAATAGATCCTGCAAAACCACCAATCATTAGCTAGAATGCCAATGAAAAACGAGAATAAATTTATTTGAAAAAAAATTATAATTATTACTAAACAAATAAAATCCCATGGAGACTATTAACCAAAGCATAAAAAATTTGACTATACTAAGCCATCAACCCTCCATTATAGCAAATAAGGATGGGGCAATCTAATTGGTTAAGTTTTAAATTGAATGAGTGTGTAATGCCTTGTGATGGTTAAAGGAAAAAAAAAAAAAAAAGCAACAAAAAGAGAGTGTGTGATGCCTTGTGATGGTGCACACTATTAAGCAAAAAAGTATAGTCCCGAGCAAGCTTGAGCTTCTTTTGGACGGCCACACAATCAGAAAGATTGCTGTTTTTACGAAACTCCAATGTTATGAATTCCAGGAGATGCCTCTTGCTGTCTTCCTTGCCAATATGTCTCTTGACAGCCTTGAGAAGGTGGCGATAAATCTTAGCTGTTTGTAAGGATGCTTGTGAACCCATTTGCTCACCGATATTCACTATCTACTTCCTGCATTAGAGGCCACATTCAAACTACCAAAAAATTTCCAATAAAACAGAAAAGCTAATGAGAATTTGGGCCAACACACTGGATTTCTTTATTCAAAATTGGCATAAAGTACCAGTTTTTATCACTTGCCAACATTAAAATAGATATCAAAAATGGAATTTAATTGACTGTTCTGGTTAGCTTGGGTCAGGGAACTCATTTCAAATTGTACTAGACTACTTAATGAGACTTGTAAAAGATTTTTAGCTGGCAAGAACATGTTGGAGCGAAAATGTTACGCCATCGAGGATGTTTGACAGATTGGTTGCTGTCATAAAAGGAAGATAACTAACAACGTCAAATCTAGAGTTTTGTAGATCCAGAAAAAACCGAGGTTCTTCACATTTGCATGTGAATGTGAAAATAAATACAAAGGAAAAACGCTAAGGACATGATAAGAACAAGAAGTGCATGATAAAAACCTGTAATAAGTAGACAAATAAACAATGCTAAAGAAAAGAAATATGCTCATTTTGCAATCATTTCTAATTATACAACAGGATGGGAAGCAAAAACCAGACTATCAGTCTATCCCTGATTAGCTTCAGCATAACAGAACTACAAAACCCAGTTTGGGATGCACTGAGATTTTGGCATACGATCTCTGGTAAATTCTCGGTTTTGAGGAAATCGAATCATGGCCTTCACTTGCTCTTTTACAATGAATCCAATCCAAATGGGGAAACAAATCGTGAATCTCCCTGGAACGTTTTGCACTAGCAAATGTACTTCATGAATATCTCTAATATGTAAGAAATTTAACCTTTTATCAGCTGAAACCAACGCAAGCACGCCAGAAGCAACAGACACTCATGTATACGGTATACCAGAAGTACCCAAGAGTTTAGAAAGAAAAACAAATCACCCAAATGAAGCCAGTAAAAACTCACTTACATTGGTCTACTGTAAGAAAAGATAGGTCACAAACTCAAGTAGACAAAGAATTCTAGAAACCATTTCCAGTTAAACCAGATAGGGTTGCAAGCACAATCAGCAATACGACAGAATAGAAATAGACTCACCTATTTCTTTCCTGCAAAGCAACGTGAAGGTCAAAGAAGGAGATGCCTAGGCCAACAATTACAACGGCAACAGGAGGCGGCCGGAGACGGCATTTGCAAAATGGGCCCTGAAGTTCAATGAAGTACGTGGGCTTAGAGATTTTTTTTTTTAGTTGAAAAAAAAATTTGAAGTTGTTAAAAACTTGATGTTAATATTTACCAGGCAGAATTTCATTAAACAATCATAGTTGTGACATTATTGCAAACTAAGACCCAAATAAATTTTAAATTTCATTGTAGGAATGTATGCCTGAATTGAAGTTAAAATGTAAAGCAAAATTATTGAAGTATTTTTTAAGATTAAAATATTTACTTCACATGTTAATTTTGTATAGTTATTTATTAAAATATTTATTTTTTATAATTATTTATTAAAATTTTTACTTTTACATGTCAACTTCTTAACGTTAATTGATAACTTATTAAGTCAATTAATTTATTAATTAAATACATAATGCTACTATAAAATATAAAAATTACTTTCTTTATCTTAAATTATAAAAATTTTTTAAAAGTAACTTGACTTTTAAAAATATAAAATATTTTAATTAAAATAAAATTTTATTAATGATTTTTTTAATAGTGTATTTCCCATTATGTTATCTTTTTTTAATATTATTTCATAAATAAAATATTAAGTCAAGGTTATTTTTTAAAAAATAAATTTAATTTTTTTAAAAAAATTAAATTGTAAAGTGTAAATATAAGCTCTGTTGATATATGTGATTTTATTTAAAAATATTTTATAATTTAAGATAAAAAAAATATTATGCAAATATAGCAAATGAAAACATGAAAGGGAGAAAGAGAGGGCTTTTGTATTTTCAACAAGGTTGTCATCTTTATCGACATCCCAAAAATATTATTAAAATATTATTAAAAAGAATTTTTATTTACTTCATCAAACTTACAATTACTTAATATTTGCCAATTATTTATAGATATCAAGTCCTCAAATTTTCAACAAACAGTTATAATATAGAATAAATTTACAGAATGATAGAATATGTATATAATTCAATGTCATATGTATCAATCATCCAAAACTTTTAAAAAGTCATTTATATTGTAAATTATATAGTTTTAATTGAAGGATGTCAGAGAATAACCTAAGAAGGTCATGTGTAGCTAGATTACATTATTTATAACCATTGGTTTGCATATTTTCTTTTTTTTTTTTTGTAACTTTTTATTTTTATAAATAAATCTTGTAAAAAGTACCGGAGAAGGGAGGACTACGCTACAACAACGCAATTCCGGAAGGGACTAGGACAGCGTTGCGATTATACGATGCGATTCAACGTCGACGCAAGGCAAACAGGCAGCGTGGAAGCAGAAAAGCCATAGCTTCCTTTGTTTCGCTCCTGGGCCTCCTTTAATTCTTTTCCCCCTTCCTCGACAAACTCTAAAACTACAGATAGAGTTTTATTTGAATTCCACTCTATTATTCTCGTCATGGCAAACGTTGCCTCAGCTGCTTCAGCCACCGCATGTTTGGCTCTCCAGCGTATGCTCTTTCCTTCTTTTTCCTATATATTCTGTTATTTATCATCTGATGACTCATTGCCAGTGCTTGAGAAAAGTGAAAGAATTTTAACTTGCTAAAGTAAATTTGTATGTATCGGTGGTTTCCCTTTGCAGCATAGTTGGAAATTATAATAATGATGAAAATCTTACTTATAGTGTCTTTTTGGTTGGCAGTTTCAGGCGGGGCAAGACAGCAGAGTAAAATTTTCCCGAGTTTTTCGAGAAGTAGGGGTATTCATTCATTGTCATTCACAAATTCTCACAGGAAACGGTTGCAAGTGAGATTCTTTTCTTCTGGGACAAATCGTAGCAATGGAGATGTCGTGGAGATATCTGAGAGCGAAAAGAAACTGAGGAACTATGCGTGGCCTAATATAAGGGTTGGAACTTTCAAATTTCGTACATGACGTCACATATTTTTCAACAAAAGGAAACAATTTGGTGGTCTCTTGTTTTTTAATTTGGTAGTTCTTTAGCATCACTTCGCACCTCTAGATTGTTTATGATTTTTTTTTTTTTTAAGAAACACTCGCGCGCTCATAAAACTATCTATCAACAATCATAATGCATACATCTGACAACTAGTGGCGGAGCTGGATGTGATATTACTAGCTCAACCTAGAGCCATGTCTAGAGGCTACCTAGCTTCCTTTTTAAGGTTTCCGTTTGCATGTATGGTTGACATAAATTGGCATTTCCAAAAACATCTTTTGTATACCTTTTGTCTGGCTAGAAGGATCAAACATTTTCAAATTCATATGTATCGATCAACTTAAACTCGTCTTTTACAGAATCCAAGGGTGTGCATATTGGGTGGTGGATTTGGCGGTTTATATACTGCACTAAGGTTGGAATCACTTGTTTGGTCTGATGACAAAAAGCCACAGGTATGGTGTGGTTATTTCTCAACTGAATTTCATTTCATCTGATTTAACTAGCTTCCTAGACTCCTTATATTTTGGTACGATAGTCTTTTAAAAACCTCTAGAAATTACTTTTGGTCATATTGTCCTTATAGTCCCTTTCTCTTGTGAATGCAATAAAAGATTCGAATTGCTTTCCACCTGAAATCATATCCACAAACCCCTTTTCCTTTCTTTTTTCTCTCTGTTTCTCTTGTCCAAGTATGTTGTTGATGACTTTGATCTTTGATAAGAATTGAATGTTTTTATTCATTCCTGCATATGTGATCCATTGTGGAATGATATTTTAGGGCATTGTTAAATAGTAATGGAGCCTTTTTCCCTCCTCTAATATTGCAATAGACAGTAGTATTTATTGATGTATTACAACTTCCGAGGACTTAAGGAACATACTATAACACCTGAGTGACATTTTTACGTTATGCATGTGAAACAGGTTCTTCTTGTTGACCAGTCTGAACGTTTTGTTTTCAAGCCCTTGTTGTACGAGCTTCTGTCTGGAGGTAGGCTGTATTCTGGCTAAAAAAACAATTACAGTTTCATGATTATTTTCAAAGATGATTTAACATGGAGTTATGATAAGCAGAAGTGGATGAATGGGAAATAGCTCCCCGTTTCTTAGATTTGCTGGCAAACACGAGTGTCCAGTTTTTGCAAGACAGAGTAAAACTTTTGCATCCCTCTGATCATTGGGCAATGGATGGACTACAGCCATCGAGTCGTGGAGGAACAGTGCATCTTGAAAGTGGCCTTTCTATAGAATATGACTGGTACAAGTTGCTTTTTTTTTTTAATTACTCCTTTTATTGATTTGTGGCAGCAATTCTTGCATGCACAATACACAAAATGATAAGTTTTGATCTTGCCTTGTGCTGTAATGTTTGACCTAGTTACTTAAATCTGTGAAAGAAGAGCAACCTGCTAGTCAGGGCATTACTGGGCTATCCTGTTGAATCTGCAGATGCCCATGCCTCTAAATGCTGGCTAGGACGTAGATGCAGGATCCTACTATGATGCCATAGGCTGCAATGTGCCCTTTTATATATGAATAATGTGGACAAGGAAAAATTAGTAATGCGGTTTTAATTGTACATGTTGCATCATTACTTCTGTTGGTTTGAACTTGCATTTCTTTACACTGGACAGCCAGGCTGGTTCTTGCTTTGGGAGCTGAAACTAGGCTTGATATTGTACCAGGAGCAACTGAGTTTGCATTGCCATTCTCCACGCTAGAGGATGCATATGTGAGTGCATGACTGAAGATGGTGGACCTTGGACCATTTCTTCAAGATTTTAGGACCATTGTAGTCATCTGTAGCTTGAAACCTATATGTTGGACTCACTTGTTGTTTTTCTTGTTGTACAGAAAGTTAATAATAAGTTAAAAACATTGGAGAGAAAAAACTTCGGCAAGGACTCCCAAATTAATGTGGCTGTTGTTGGCTGTGGTTACTCTGGAGTCGAGTTAGCTGCTACAGTGGCAGAAAGGTTAAAGGACCGAGGGGTTGTTAGAGCAATCAATGCTGAAACCATGATCTGCCCGACTGCCCCACCTGGCAGTAGGGAAGCTGCACTGAAAGTGAGTAAACTGGAGTTTAAATTATATGTTTTTTGCTAGCCTATTTTGTGTAACTCAAAAGACTACAGGAAATTGGCTGCTCTTTTCTAAGATTTTAGTATTACTTTACCTGACAAGTTCAACCACTTGTTGGCTTTTCTCAGATCTTAAAAATATTTATATGTTTTAATGGCACAGTATCAATGTTAACAGTTCCTTTTGAAAGCGTCATTGGAAATGATAAAATGCATGTAAATGTTTAGTGGCTTTTACAGTATAACGCTTTAAGTTAAGTAGGTGCAAAAAATGTAAAAGTTGTTTTGAAAGCATCATAGAAGCGAAACTTGTACATGTAAAACTTAGGCCTTCAAAATTTTTGCGAGATTTAAAGGAGCAAAAAGTCAAAAACATGCTGCTTGTGTTTTGGAATTTCTGCCATGGGTTATGAGGTTGTTGACAAATTAGATATTTAAATCTCATCAAATGATGTTTCAAGTTTTTAATATATTTGTCGTTCTGCTAGATATTTTCGTAGCATTTTAAAGCCCTTTCCATCTCTCACATTGGTGTTGCTATTCTGTAGCAAACTTGAACTGTCTAGATTTAATCCAGACACTTCACTTTTTTTTTTAATCTTTTAATCATATATTTTTTAAAAAAATATCAGTCAGACGCTTATTTTTATTCTGTGTCCTTATTTTAAGATAAAAGAATATTAAAAACTTCTGATATATGCACGCACAATACAGACTGTTCAAATCAAATCTAAACAGTATAGGCTTGCTAAAGCACCACCACCGTTGCATTTGTTTCCTCAATTCTTATGGAAACCAAGCACGGACGAGGCAGGGTGACATTGTATTTGTTTCCAAAGAGATGGTCTAGGACTTGGGTTTTTCTCTCTATTTGGACTATGAGTCTTATGGTTGAATATACTTTCTGCATAACTAGGTGATGCCTAAGAAAACATGTCTGGTAAAAGACCAATTAATTAATCATTGCAGTTTGACGTCGCTAATGTTTTTTCCGCATGAATTACCTATAAGGTTGTCAGTTATTGATGAGGTTAAAAAGATTCCTGATAGGTGGAACTTTGAGATAACCAACACAAAACCCTTTCCTTTCTACACTGCTGCTGCTTTGAATGTGGCTGTACCATTTCTTCAATAATGGTGTCAGAACACCTCTCAGTTTAAAATCTTCTAATTCCTTTACCAACGTTACACTGTTTCAATTAATTTTTTTGGTTTCTAGAAGGGTTTGATAATGCTATGGATGATAGGTTCTTTCATCCAGGAAGGTTGAACTTCTATTGGGCTATCTAGTCCGCTGCATCCGGAGGGTGAGTGACTTTGAGTCTTCAGATACCCTGACAGAGAAAGGTGAAAACCAGGGAAATCAAGCTGTACGTGATTCTGATAAATATGTTTTAGAGCTGCAACCAACTGAAAGGGGATTACAAAGTATAATTTTAGAAACAGATCTGGTATTGTGGACTGTTGGATCTAAATCTTCTCTTACTCAGACAGAACCTTCAGATTTATCATTTCCACTTCCTCTCAATGGCCGAGGGCAAGCCGAAACAGATGAAACTCTTCGTGTTAAGGGCCACCCACGGATATTTGCTCTTGGTGACTCCTCTGCAATAAGAGATTCACATGGAAGGATCCTTCCAGCCACCGCACAGGTTTAGTATTCATCCTAGATGATGATATTATGACATACCTATAAATCTTGAGAGCATACTATCTTGTTTGCTGATTTGTTACCCTCTCCTTTGCAGGTTGCTTTTCAGCAAGCAGACTTTGCTGGTTGGAATCTGTGGGCTGCAATCAGTGGCCGTCCACTTTTGCCATTTAGGTATGTCTGTCATATGAAAACAAAATGGTTCGACATTTCTGTAGTCTACAAAATTTCTTACATGATATGAAACCTCTCTGTAATGGCCTTCAGGTTTCAGAATTTGGGTGAGATGATGACATTGGGAAGAAATGATGCTGCCATTTCCCCCAGTTTTGTTGAGGGACTGACCTTAGAAGGTCAGATTGGTCATACAGGTAAGTTTGCCCCATCCTTATTCATTTATATTCTCTTCTTTGATCTTTTTTAAAAAGACGGACAAACACTGAGCTTTTCTATTTTTACAGCAAGGAAGCTAGCATATTTGTTCAGGTTACCAACAGATGAACATAGGCTTAAAGTTGGGATCAGCTGGTTCACAAAGTCCGCCATTGATTCAGTGGCTTCGCTACAGAGCACCTTAATCAGGGTTGTTTCTGGTTCATGACTCCCTCTTATTGACGTCTCTTCCATTGTTGAGATAGTTCTCTATGTATAGTATTCGTCGGCCGTAGCTGCCTTCATGTCTCTGTTTTATAAACACAGTTTGGGGGGATGTTCCGCATAAAGATTTTAAATTTATAATCACAAGGATTCATGTGTCTGAAAAGGTAAATAATATGTTAATTAATGAGGTGTTTTGATCCGACGTCCAGATTTGACGTCGTCTTAACAATGCTTGAATTTCACTTAATAATAAGAGATACTCCATCCACTCTCATTTATAATACATGTTTAGAAGGTTCATTTGATTTTATTTATAAATTACGGTAATATTTAAAAGATATGTACAAAATTACCTTTTATGAGATAAAAAAAATAACATGACATCACTTTTTAAATTTATTATATGAAGGTACATTTGGAATTTTATATACTTTTATTCCATTTACTTTGTTTTGCATTGGTATTGATGAGGTTGATAGAAATGACTTATAAAAAAATTAAAGAAGTACTAGATACTCTCTTTGTTTAAAATTACTTTATTGGGGTGTGAGATTAAGTTAAAAATGCCTGAAGTAATTGTGTGAATATATTTGTTTTGAATAATTATCAAGGGTGTGTTTGGCATAGGAATTTCTGAAAGCTTTTGATGAATCTAGTTTCAAAACTGAAATTTTTTTTCTTTGTTCGATATACATTTTCTTTTACTTTAGGGGGATTTTCTCTGTTGAATTAGTTGTCCACATTCCACAAAACCTGGCCAATTAATTTTGAATTATTAACCATAGTTTAGGTTTCTCGTTTCATTTTCTAATTGTTCTCTGTTTTAAATTTGATCAAATAATTCTCCTCCGTTAAATGAAAAATCTAACGAGATCAATATGATATTTAATATAATAATTTTCTAAGGTTGTAACACTTGGTTCATAGTTGTCTAGGTAACTGAGTTTAAACGATAACAAAAGATATGATGAAAAAATTGATATGTCATCGGTAAGTGAACAAGTGTTCCAGTTTATTATAACATGTTAATTGGTTGTATTTAAAAATTTTGACTAAACATGACGTTTTAAATTTTCTAAAGTTTATATTTTCTGGCAAAAACAATTTTTTTTTTTTTTTGTAACGGGAAAGAAACCAAAGGATTTTATATGGGGTTGAGACTGAATTTTTTTTTTTTTTTCCGACCTTGGCATGTAATAAGATTTTTGTGTGCATCAGATGCGGTGTTTAATGTATTGAATGAAGTTTGAGCAGTGCTATGTTACCCTTGTATGCTTTACTGATGGTGCGAAATGTTGTCAGTCTTTTCGTAGTCCATGATATCCAGCTTAAGCTACAAATACTGGCCTTAAAAGCTTTAATGGTCTTTTGTCCTTCACCTTTGGGCCTGAGGCCATGTTTAAGTCTTCCAATATGGGCCTGAAGCTATGTTCAAGCCTTCAAGCAATTCTTTATAACTTCCGTTGTTCAAGTGAAGCTGCAAAAAATATGAGATCCATTCTTGAAAAGTTTAATGGGCTTTTATTTTTTTATCAACACTTTTTTAATGTTGATGTAAAGACTTTATTGATAAATAATTTATAAATATCTTTATAAGTATTTTTTAAATTTGGAGGCATGTCCTGGCTTTGCTTTTAAGATTCAATTCACCTAAGTTTTTTGATTAAAAAAAAATACAAAGACTCAACTACTAATCAAAATAGTTAATTTCACAAGAAGGTTTGAATTCATGATACAGTCTTCCATTCCACAATATTTTCATTTTTGTAGAAGCAACAACACTTGTAATAACTTTAACAAGATTGTCCTTAAGCCCAACTAGATGTGCTTTCTCTTGTAGTTTGTGACTGTTCACGACCTTTTGGTAGCGCTCCCTCCAGCCTCATGTATAAGCAAATCTTAAGGAAAATTTATGTGTCTTAATTATGAGAAAAACTTACCATATTTAAGGTGTAATTAACACGTTTCCAATTCTATCCCTCATTCAAAACCCTTTATTTTCTTTCATGAGGCAAGAAAATTTTCTCAAGAAGAATAACTGCAGGGATATTTTGAGGAAGGGGGGATTCAATATTAAACATAATTAAAAAATAATTACCTTCAACAAATTTTCTTACCAAGTGTTGTGTAGTATTTTCTTCGTTTGAGACTCGGTTTTGTAATTTATATTGAAATTGATTGTTGTCTATGCTGGCGTGTATTCCCGTATAGTCATAAATGAGTTTGGTATGATTTTTGAAATGAAATCCTATTGGCACCACATACTGATTGAGATCTTTGAGACTAATATATCATGCATTTAAGAAAGAATCTGACTTTAATTATAATTTGCTTTTGATGTTGTAATCAAATTCATATCTGAAAAACCAGTTTGATGTCTGTTTCGCTCCATGGATTTCATGGTTTGCAAATTAAGATACTCACTGGCCAACATTAATTAGATCTGATCACCTCCATCCTGTTTACTTTTCTAACGAATGAAGTTGTAATCACGTCACATATTTGACATTTATGAAAGACCTTATCAGGAAAGTTGATGAGTAATTGCATTAGGAACTCGGGCAATTTCCCTTTCAAGTCTCAAGGTCCACGATATTCAGCTGAAAATCTGCTGAGAATTTGTTTTTTCCGATTTTAAAAACTAATTTACGACTAGTACTTTTGAGTTGTGATATTTGATTGGCATATTAGAAAAGATATCGACTCAAAACTAGATGCATGCTTATGCATTACACTAAATCTATCTTGAGTCACATTATTTATAAATTATATTTTCTCTCCAAAACTATTAGGCATTTTTTTGAGGTAATATGTTATAAAATGTAGGTGTTTTTTGATGATAATTACTGAGTTTTTTTAAAAAAAATATTTTCAATAAATAAATTACTCAGTCCTCCACTTTTTAGTTAGACATTTTATTAAATAAGAATAAATATAAAAAGATAATGTTAGTTTAAAAATAATTAATTAATTTATTGAAAGGTGTAATTAAAGTAAAATGTCATATTTTTTAAAGAAAGGAATAAATGGTTTAGTGTTCTCCCTTCCTCTCCTGCACGCTACCTCTCAAGTCTCAATTGTTGATGTTAAAGGCAAAATATAAAATGTGAGTTTTTGATTAATTGTAAATGACTAAACAAACGCAAATTATAGCTAGTTAAATAATTGGTTTGCTTAGTCAATTCAAAAAAATTAGCTTTATTGTTTTACAAGATTATAGCTAGATAAATAATTATTTTCAATATATCTAAATCATGTAAGTTAATAATCCATAATAAAGTATTTGAAGATCATTTTTATTTATAAAGAGGTTATTAATTGACAGTAAGAGATAGACTTGTGATATTAGCTAATTTTAATTTTATTTTGTCAAACATGCCACCAAAAAGGCTATCATCTATGCTCAACCCATGAATGTTGTTTTAATAGCAACGTCATCTCTTTCTTTGAAAAAAAAGTTTTGAATTTGAACCCAGCATCAACATTGTGTACGTGGGTGTGTGTCTTTCTTTTCTATAAAGAAGTACTAGGATAAGAGTAAATTTTTTTTTTAAAAAAAGAACATTACTTTATACTCCATCCATTCCATTATAAGATATTTTTAAATAAAATTATACATATTAATAAAGTTAATTAAATACATTTTATAGTTTTATATTTTTTAAAATAAAATTATAAATTTTTAAAAATATTCTTTATTTAATACTTCATTTGTGAAAAATATTAAAGAGAAACAACATAATATAAAGAATAGTGTTAAAAAAAGTATTATTATTAAAATTTTATTTTTATTAAAATATTTTATATTTTGAGATGTTAAATTTTTCTAAATAAATTCAAAAATTTAAAATGTTGAGGCTGAACTTGATTATATAAACTTTTTTACCTCTTAATTATTTTATACTTAGTAAGAGTTCATTGAAAATAAAATTAATTTAAAATGATTAAATACAAAATAACAATTTTAAGTTAAAACACAAGCATAAAATTAGATTCTCTTTATAATCTCATGTGGTGTGAAAAATAAGATTAATTGACAAATAAAATGCGTAATACTACAATTTTAATAAACCAAACCGTCATGTCACCGGACCACCGGTTCTTTATTAATGTCCCCCACACTTCAAAGCATCCATTTCCCTTTATGTCACGAGCGGTGAGAGTGAGACGTGAGAGAAGTAATAACAATTGTCTAATATCAAATCAAATATCTTCTCTATTTAAAAATATAAAACATTTTTAAAAAAATTAAATATTTAAAAATATAATTTTTTTATTTTTTAAGACGTAATTATTTTTTTTTAAAGTGTCTCTATAGATAATGATTTCATATTTATTATGAAGTGTTTAATAAAGATAGATATATAAAGATAGTGTTAGTTAGAAAATAGAGAAGTACTTTATGAGAAGGTAAGATTTAGTTAAAAATACATTATATTTTTAAGCGAAGGGAGTAATTGATAATGATATTGACTATTAAAAAAAATATAAGTGGTTCGATAATTAATGATGACCGGTAATTTAGTATTAATTTGAGATTTTTATAGCTTTCAAATGCCGCATGGATATTTATTAAAATTGAATAAAACCTAGGCGATTGTTTAAAATACAAGACATTTTTAAATACTTTGACAAGAATTAGAAAAATATTTAAAATTTATTTTTTTTATTAAAGTGGTTAAAAAATTTCATTATTTTTCAATATTAATTTTTAATTAAAATCAATCTATCTTAGTTACTTTTATTTTTTCTTATATAATCTCTTTTTATAATATAATTAATAAATATATTTACAAAAAGAACTTAATACTATTGATTTTTTTGTAGATTGTCATGCATTTTGAAGCAACACTAGTCAATAAAAATTTCCCTATATTTTAGATAGAAAGGACTCCTTTCAAGTGCAACTAAATATAATAAAATAATTAATTAATTTTAAATTTTTAGTGAAAAAAGTAGCCATTTCTTTTGGGCCTTATAACAGTAGCCAACTAATCGTTTGTAGTTTGGCTGGTAGTGTGATTAATTTCACGCCATATGTTTATGGTCTTGTCATTTTGCATGTATAACAGGCATAATTTTGGAAATTTCATGGCATACATGCATGAAGGTAATTTCTTCTCCGAAGAATAAAAGAAATAATAATAATTAAGTCCAAAAAGATTTAAGTAATAATGTTTAGGCTCTAAACAAATTTTCTAAAAATGATCTATAAATATTGATTCATAC